TTTTTTATTAAATAAATCAATGAATAATAATAATAATCTTTGCAATAGTGTTATCCTAAAAAACCAAAAAATCTTTGAAATATATTAAAATGTTTTTAAGTAAGACAGAACATTATTTCTGCTTTTTTCAACATTGTTTAATAACATAAGTTTTTTATTCAATCTTGCAGTTGAATCCAAAACCAATACAACAGGGCAGCCCAGCATGCACTTTATTGCCATTCATCCGTGAGTCCCCAGTCGATGGCATTGTTCCACATATAGTATAGAACATTCCACAACCATAACCATATGCAGGATTCACCCAAAGAATTGTTCAATTGCCAGAACATAAACGTGTGCGTGTATTTTTTGGCCTTTGTTAGTTTGATTTAGGCGGCAGTATATATGAATTATTATAGTTAAATATGGATATTTATTGCGATTTTGGGGGCGATTGTTGTAATGCGAGATAGTTTCGACCCGAAAGTGCAGCTGAGGCAGAAAGCTTTTGATCTGCCGGACAATCGAGTGTGCGGGGACATATTCATATGTATTCCTCCAATGAACTGCCTTTACTTCCATTCCGAAGTTTTCCTCATTTCAGTAATATTTATTTCTTTCGAGTGCTTTTTCGCAAAAGGCAGACGAGAGAGCCCACAAATTTAATTGCACAAAAGTTTTGTCGAAAAACCAGAAATGATGAAATGAGCAAGTTTCTCGTTTGTGGCTTTTATACTAATCAAAATGCGGAAGGGGAGGAAATGCGTTTCAATGGCAACTCTCTCAAAAATCAAAGACAAAATTTGAGTGCAGTGAAAGCAATTAGTTTTAAAGCGCAATATAATTAGATTTTAATTAAAATCTCAAGAGTCCAAAAGCCGAACAAAACAATCAAATTAGAAATGGACAACAAGCCCAACTGCAAATGCAGCAGGCCAACGCAAATATACAATTTATGCGTAGCACATTGAAAGTGAGCAAATAGGGAGCTTTCGGTCCGGAACTTAAGTCCGGACCCGTTTTTAGCCCCCGGCTTGAGCCATAAATTGTAACGGCTTTTGGCCCTACCTTATGCAGATTTGTTTAACTTCAAAAGAGCCAACAAATTGCCAGGCATTGGCTTTTTCAACCATACCTTATACTCAGCTCCTCGAGCTGACTTTTATTTGGCTTGTTTTCTGTTGCTTTTTATTTGTATTTTTATTTTCCTCTCAAACATTAATCCAGTAAACCGTAAACAAACGATGGCAGTCAACAAAGGACCAACATGGCGTATGAGCTATTAAGTGTACCATATGTTTGCCGATGTGTGCTTTGGTCTAGCCATATTTTAAGCTCCCCTGCACAATTCTGTTGTTTCCGCATTCCGTTTCTATTTTCTATATTTTTTTACCGACTGCAACTGCAAGCCGTTTTCACATAGAAATACATCGCTCTTGAAATATACGATTCCTAGGACTTAAGGATTTATTGCACTGCAAAGAGGCTTAAAGAAGCAAATCCAAAGGGAATACCTTGCACATAAAGAAACTATATTTAACTTAGTTCAATTTCTAACATGATGTTTTAATAAATACAAATACAATTAAACATTTTTAGACCCCCACGTAAGCAATTGATAAAACACACCATTAATTGAATTTACTTGAATCATAACGTATCGCTCGGATTACTTACTAACACATTAAATATTTAAAAATAAACCCACTTGCTTTGTCCGGGCAAACTTGAAAATTGTGAAATTAAATATTTATTTGCTCGCTGAAAAGTTTGCGAACCCCAAAGTGCTTATCCTTTCACAACAGAGTCACAAGGTCGAACCGCAGTGGGGAACTTGCCTTTCATTGGCAATTTGTATTTGTTTCCCCGCTGTTGCTTTATAAGTATTTTTATTTGAGCACAAACACGAACGCCAACAAGCGGCAATGAAAGTTAAACAATGTTTGCGGCTTTGCTATCCGTTTCCGCAATAATTTCTCGGATCCGCCTGCGAGCGTTTTGTGTCCTTGACACAATTTCCCCAGGAAAACTTTTGATTTCGCCGCAAGATAATTTGCTAGCTGGAAAATGGAGGCAGTGCCAGTGGGTCGCGGCCACTTAAAGTAATGCAAAACGAAAAAAAAAAAAAAAGGAAAAAATTCCAAATAAGGAAATCAAAATGGCAAGGCAACATGAAAGGCGAGCGAAAATTGAACATCCTGCAGCAGGATGCGTTGCGACTTGGCGGTTGTGGAAAAGGCCAAGAGGTTCCAGCCAAGACGAACACCATAATTATGGGTGACCGCGATAAGGAGGAGCGCTGAATGTAAGGGAATTGCACGGGACAATTGCCGCCAAGGACTGCGCCCAAGGATTCAAACCGGAGTGGGTGGCATTTTCCTTTATAACTCAAGGATGGGGCTGGCCGTGGGTCTCCTCGATCCCGGACGACTGGTCACCCTGTATGGAAATGGCTAGGAAGATGGAGATGGAAATGCTGCCCCACTTTGTGCAATGAAAAATTTCCGCTCGCTCGTTCCTTTTTTTTTTTTTTTTGCTTGAAGGATGACATTTTTGCAAATTGCCATCATAATAATAATCAAATTCGTGTAAATTTGTTTGCAAATTCAAGAAGGAAATGGTGTCAGCTGCCCCAGTTGCCCGCACTCACCGAAAAGCAGATACAGATGGTTTGGGATTATCAAGTTAATAGCTTTTCTCCTTCTCGTTTCAGTTTAATGCTGATGAAATTGAAAACATAAACTACACAGAAGTGCGCAACTTGGGACAGGCTCTCTGCAGTGATAATGGAGATGGCTTTTTCAAATTTCGAGATTGTAGGGCCAAATTATTTCTCCTCTGAAACGGATGGCAATTAATTAAGGGAAAAAGGGTCCAAGCCTGGTAGCTTAAAATATATAAAACGTTACAATTAAGGCAATGCCCTAGGGTAATATTTTGTTTAATTTATTGAAAAATCAAACGGGAAATTATCGGCAACCTTTTTGCACATCAACAGATATGTCAACTTCCATAATGAATTTAAAATGACATATTAATAAATTCATTTGATTTAAATAAAGTGACTTAATCTGCTTATGAGTTTAGCAACAAAGTATTTAATGGCTATTTTCACATATTGGATTTAATATGCATCATTTTTCATAACTTTCATTTTCCAAATTAAATTGCACACTAAGCCCACCTGCATTGCGTTTTTGAAGGCAGTGCAAGGAAGTTCTCGGGACATGAATTACAACTTTAAATTGACTTGTCTGGCATTCACACTCACTATTACACTACCAGGGCCTTTCACACACGTACTTATTCAAACACCTTGTAAGAGTAATCCCCACGTTTCTAGGCCGCACAATGCGAGATCTGTTTTATGGTTCCTTCAAGTGGCTTATTCCGAGGACCTCACAAAAGTAGTGAATGAATATGTGTGTGGCTACAAGGACAACCTGGTACTGTGACTGCACAGGAAAAATGCAACTCAGTAATAATATGCAATTGGTTTGGCTGAAATGCTAGGTAACATAAAATGATCTAATATTAAATAAATAATAATAAATAAATAAATATGAATTTTATCATTTGAAGTGAATAAACTGGAAAGTAATGAAAAAAGTAGGTGAAGTAGTATTAAAACATAACAATAGACAAATATTAGACAAAAATCTTTTTGATTTCTGCAGAAACATATATTCTGCTATAAACATATACTCTGCTATAAAAGGGTTTTTTTTTTTTTAGTTTAATAAAATATGTAAAAACATGTGAACATTTGGCTTTGTGATATGGATTAAAATTTTAAATACATAAATCATAAATATTTAAAAATGTTATAGTTGTATAATTCACACTATACTTTTCTCTGTGTCCCTAGTTTAATAAAGGTGTCAGGGTGAAAAACTTGCCAAAGCCGTCGAGCTCTTTTTACCACAGAAACCTCTTTGGCCAACAGATAAACTGGCATTAGCCTGATCCGTTCAGGGAACTCGCTTAATTTCAATTCCATGCGGTCGCCAATCGATGGGGTTGAACCTGGGCCAACTTCCCAACTTCTGGACGTTCCCCGGTGGTGGTGGCATGTCAAAAGTTTCAGTCAACTTCATTAGGCCAAATCCGACGGCCAACAGACTGGGGGAACTGGCAGCCAGGGCACGTCATGGTCAGCCACTTGTGGATATCCCGGTGCTCCCTGCATTCCTGATGGCCATGACGCTGAAATTAAATGAAGCAAAAACTTGGACAAAGTTATTTAGCGAATGATAGGCCAGTTTGCCTTTTCCGGCTGACTGGCAGAAATTAAATGCCCTGAGATTTGAAACGGTGGGCACTCATTTGCACGAGATTTCCCATTCGAGTAGGTTCACAGTTCGTTTTCCATGGCATCACCTTGCTAACTTATTCGGTTTTTCGCCGCCTGATTGTGGATGGGCGTAAAGTTTGCCGCTCAAAAGTTGTTCTCGAGTATCCTGCCGAGGGTAAAATAACTTTGACACAAAAGTTGGCCGGCCAAAACCTTTCAAGAGTCCACTTTTCCAACTCTTTCAAAACCCCTTCCCTTCTTTGTCTTGAATGCTAATCAAGAAAGGGAACTCGAAATCTGAATAAACTTTTAAAAGTGCGACAAAACCCACTGAAGAGTCAAAGTTGATTGCCATTGCAATTGAGTTAAACCCATAATTGGCTGATATTTTAAAAGCTCTTAAATGAGTGAATGAATAAGCAGAGTAAATTGGTAGTAAAATGTATTGGGAAATCAGCCTTGAGACTCTTGTTTTTAAAAGACTATTATGATTTTCAAAGTGTGTACACAAAGTGTTTACAAAATAGGGAAATTGGTGAATAAATAAAACTCTATTAACTCAAAGCTACAAAATCTACAAAATCAACTAAATATAAAAATATTTTTAAGTGTTGCTTCCAGAGTATTTTAAAATAAAAGTCTCAAATAACGTTTATTTTCGGTTCCTGGAAATTAGCTTGCTTTTGAAGTAACTCAAATCTATACTTGTGAAATAAACAAACTTTCACTGCTTCCAATGAGATATTCTGCCCTTTGGCGCTCGGTGGGCGCCATGAGCTGCGGTTCGCTGGTCACCTACTTGACCCTCCGTCTATTCGATGGCCAGCAATCCTCGCTACTATCAAGTGGAGATGGCAAAGGGGAGTTGGGACCCGTGGACAGTGGCACTTGGCTGCATCATTGGGATCTCCAGAAGCCGCAGCTGCAAAAGGTGTCGAATGGCGAGGAGTCCTCGGCCCTGCGTCATATAATCCTGGTGCGACATGGCGAGTATACGAAGACCCCGAATGGAAGCCACCTCACGGAACTGGGTCGTCGGCAGGCGGAGAGGACAGGTCGAAGGTTGCGGGAAATGGACTTGAGCTGGGACCACGTGGTGGCCTCCACAATGACGCGGGCCGAGGAGACGGCCATGATCATCCTGAAGCAGCTCAATCTGGATCCCCTGAAGATGAAGCGGTGCACCTTGCTGCCGGAGGGCACTCCCTATCCGGGGGATCCTCCTTCCAAGAAAAGTCCACGCAGCTTGGAACTGGCCTATCAAAGGGATGGTCCAAGAATTGAGGCTGCCTTTAGGCGTTACTTCTTTAGAGCCAGTCCAGAACAGGAGCACGATTCCTACCTCCTCATAGTGGGCCATTCCAATGTGATCCGGTATCTGATCCTGCGAGCCTTGCAACTTCCTCCGGCTGCCTGGACACGGCTCAACTTGAACCACGGGTCCATCACCTGGCTGACTGTGTGGCCCTCGGGCTATGTGACCTTGCGATGCCTGGGGGATTCCGGCTTTATGCCCATATCCGAGTTGACCCATCGAAGGCCGTCGCCGGCTAAATCGGATAATAACTAGCTCATGATTAAAGCTCCACTGCCGGATGCGGATTCGGACCAGTACTAGTTCATTTTCGTAACAGGAGTGGAAACGTGACTTCCTGCACATTTTGTCGCAACTGGGGGAAAACCACTTTAAGTTTGGCCAAAATCACTTGGCCAACACACTGCCAGCTGCATTTGCATCCGCATGCCAGCACAAGCACAGTCACATTCACAGCCAAATTCACATCTACATACAGTGGCCACAGTGCCAGCGGTTTGGGGCTGACACGCCCAAAGCGGTCATACCGCCCACTTTTTGGCCAACCGGTAGTTGGCACATTTGCGCTACTCTTTCGGGATTGTCTCTGCTCATTAGTGCGGCTTTAATTTTGGTTATTGCGCCTGTCCCATGTTGTTCGGTTTTGGTTTTTGGTTTCGGTTTTCCGCCTTTGGTTTTGGCCATCGTCAACTTTGTTGCCGTTGTTATTGTTGCCGTTGCCACTGCCTTTGCCGTTGCCGCTTTCCCGCTTTCCCGCTGGCGTTTCATTAAATTTGCATCCGTTCACAATTTGAATTTAATTTGTTGGGGGCTGAAAATTGCATTATAGCAATCCGCCCGGAGCTGCTCAACTGCCACTCACATCGAGTGTCAGCTGCTAAATATTTGCCTCGCCACAGAAATTCTGGAGCGCATGGAAAAAAGGCAAGTGTTTACTTTATGGCCCTGTTATTGCTGTTGCGGTTGGCTGCCTCAAAATGGCCCTTGACGTCCATCGGACGTGCATTATAATGTGGCAGTATGGTCGAGTCATTATTGTGAATTTTATCGGGCGAAAATCTAAATATAGCAGCCAGGGAGTTACAGAAACATACCAGAGATTTTTCAATAAACTTAAATTATATAATCTCTGTGGAAAACTTTCTGTTTCACTGACGATTTATTTTTGAGAGAAAAATATTCACAAATGATTAAATATTTGTACTATTGATCATTTCATGGGAAAAAAAGCTGCTAAGGAAGAAAAGAAAGATACAAGAGTTCATATTATAAACATACATTATATGAACAAATTATTTTTAACGACTTTTTCTTCACAATTATTCAAATTATTGTAAGTTTTAACGGAGTTACAAAAAGGTACTGACGTTCTTAAAATAGTTTATTTTAAGGGAAGAAAAAATTCTATAACTCAAGTCATTTTAAAAACAACTTTAACAAATATTATAATAAAATCAAAGCCGAGAGTTAACCTATATTTGGCTTAACTTCTCACTAACAAGATGAAAGGTTGCAAAATCATCATAATAAATATATTTTATTAAATTGTTTATATCTCACCTATAGTGAGTTTTCATACTGAGGCCTTCCAACTGGCAACATATACGGGGGAACTACGACTTGTGTCTCAATATTCGGAAGGAAAACATCCTTGGAAAGTACTGATTCTTACAGACTACTCCTAAAATCATGAGTATTGGCAATTGTTTTGCGACCTTCTGTTCAGCCACTCACATGAACAAGTTCTTGAGTCAAATGAGTCAGAGAGTATTCAACTTAAGTATCCCCAGCACAGTCATGATTATCAGTGATAGCAGTTGCCAGACTAGTGAAAGTGAACTTTGGGATGGATTAACTATTGTTACAATGTAAGTGCCCCAGTATTTCTATCAAGGTTTGCTAAACCATTCTGATTACAGAGTGTTCTTATCATTGATGTGTTCAATCGTGGCTATCTTCACGTTATACGACTTCTTTGTGTGCAAAAAACAAAGTAAGTTAATGGGTTTAAGTTAATTCCTAAAAGTATGTATTTATTTTAATTCTACTGGAATTCTTCAGAAATAAAGGTATATTTTTTACCGTAACTACCACTTACTACAACAAATACTTTACCAATTAAAATGACCAACATACTACGTAATTACTTATTAACTAACAAGTTCATAACAACTTGAACGATTATGTTATCGGGCACTTTAACTTAAACTGAACAAATAATGACCAACTTAAATGGGTGTAATTAATATTATCTAGGACAAGTTTCAGTTGGTTATTAAGGTTCTTAAATTTAATCAGAAGCCGTCTAGCGATGAGTGGTGGTTCATTCTCATGGGATTACTTGTCGGCAAACGATCAAATAGCATCGATGATAGAGTCAAAGTCAAAAGTGTATTATTTTTGTAAGACCATATTTACACGACACATAGTTATATTAGTCATTTACATAGCCTTCAATTATTTGTGTTTGAGTTTTAAAACCAAATTAAACTATGGAAATTTTGACTGTTTTAATAGGGATTATCCTGTGTAGCTCAGTGTCCAAAGCAGAGCTTGGTGTGATCGGGGACATAAGTGACGAATCCTTTGAGATGTTGATATCCGGGGGACATAAACCCAAGAGTAATCGACTGTCCCGTCACGTGGTCTCCATCCGCACCCAGAACTATGTGCGTACCCGTGGAGACAATCACTTCTGCAGTGGAGTCCTGGTCAGCAGTCGAGCGGTCCTAACCGCTGCCCACTGCATTACGGAGTAAGTTTCATAGTTCCTTCCTATAATATAATACCTATATATTAATTGAGTGAAACCCCTGCAGTCGGTACAAGGCCTCTATGAATCCGCGGGGCCTGAGAGTGGTTTTCGGAAACGTAAGACGTCTGGCGGCCTATGAGGAATCGGACACCCGGACTGTGGATCGTCTGGTGGTCCATCCGGAATACCAGCGATACAAGAAGAATGACGTGGCCATGCTCAGACTATCCGATCGCCTGCACAGCTCCAACCACGATGTCCTGCCGCTGCTCCTTCGCAAAACGGCCAATGTGTCCTATGGCGATGTCTGTGTCACCGTCGGTTGGGGGCAAATATATCAGGTAATGTATCCTCTAAACCTGGGAAAAATCCCTACATAACCTTTAAAATATCATCATTCGCAGCACGGTCCTTATGCGGATGAGCTCCTTTATATGGACGTTATTTTAAGGCCGCCCTCCTTTTGCGAAAAGCACTTCCCTACCTTTTTGGAAAACCTCTTCTTATGTGTGGAGCCCGATGTCGAGGGTGGCACCTGTGCCGGAGACATGGGCGGACCGCTGATCTGCAAGGGCGCTCTATATGGACTCATTCCCGGTCATTTGGGATGTGCTGGCGGCAAGGCTATGCAGTTCTTAAGCTTTCCATACTACAAGGATTGGATTATAAGCACCATGAAATCCCTTTCTGATTGTGGCTTCATCGAAGCCTCGAAAAGTGTTTTTTTAACTACCTTCATATTGGTTCTCGTAAATTTATAAAAATATAAAATGTATGGGAAAAATATTATAAAATGTGGTCATAAGATAAATTTCTTTTTAAACTGCTTATTGAAAGGTTTTTTTAAATAATATATACTTGTATAAATAATAAATATGTATGGAAAATCTTAGAATTTACGCATTAAATAATATATATAAATAATAAATATGTATAGATAAGCTTACAATTTACGCATTAAAGAAAATTACGAAAATGTAGAAAATCAGATCTTATTCGATTTACTGAAGGATAATGCGGATATCGTATTTGAAATATTTAACTTAATATTTACGAGCATGCCAAAAATGTCTATCAATCCAAATTTACAAGCTGTTGGTCAGTACTTTTTTTAAGCCAAACATCCCAAATATCGTCAGAGATTTTATTACACTCCTGATAAACATAACTAAGAATTGTTAATTTCTTTCTCCAATGCTGACAAACATTTCATGTCGTGGTCCATTAGTTTCTTCTAGTCAGGCCACCTCATTTGTGCACTCGATTTCCTGCTGTCCTTTTTGTCCCTAGGCAACCGCATTTGCAGTGCTGCATGAGTCATTTTTGGCCACGACTGACATTGATACACCGCTCAAAGGACGACAAATGCACACAAAGAGGAACCCAAAAGACCGGAAGTGGACGGGAATGTCTGCTATCAATGCTGCCAAACTAGATGCACCTTTGCGGATGTTTCCGGTTAAGAGCGAAACGAACCCAGGGGCCATCATTTCAGTCTTTAAGTTTGAAAGCCTCTTCGGGCTGGCGTGCAAATCTGACGCAAAATGCATAAATCAAAGGCAAATTGAATTTTAGCCATGAAAGGCACTTCTGCCACGGAGGCAGTGGAGGAGCCCAGGCGTTTGCGTTTTCGTTGTAGTTGTCGTTGTCGTTTTCGTTGTCGTTGTCACTGGCGTCTCCCGCTGCGAACTCTGACAATATGTTGAGGAAAATGCCGGGGAAAATGACGACCGCTCCCCGAATGTTCGCCTTTGGCCGTTCGCCGTTCGTCGTGCTTAACTTTAGCCTGCTCCGCTTTCAGCTTTCAGCAATGGCAAAACTTTGTCTGGCTTGGCGTTGATGCAACTTTAAAGTAAAGTCTACTTAATGCAAAGCTCAAGGCGCCTGCCGCCAACACAAACAAAAACTGCGAAATTGGTCGTTAGTGCTTATGAGATATATTTGGCGTTTCCACGAAAACTAAAGAGCTCTTAGCATGGCTATGCAGGATAACCTGACAACTGAAGCAAAGTTGGAGTACACACATGGAGTATACGACTCATTGAAATGGGTGTGTCCACGAAATTTTAGATTTTATATAATCACTTGTGCTGTTGTTTTCTTTATATATCTTTTTAAAACTTGACCACCTCTATGCTCAAAAATGTTTAAAAAAACCAATAAAATACATACTTTATAATGTTAATAAAGAAGAATTTATGGCAATCTATAATTTCCTTGAAAAGTAGTTTTTAGGCGTGTCATTAACATAATTTAATGCCGATAAATCAGTGTTTTTCTTTGTTTCTCCCAATAAACACTGTTTTTCCCGCCTCAGCAGCACGTGCTTTTTCCCCTTAGAGAGAAAAAAAAGTGCAACCAACAAGTCAATATTCACCATACGCCTCTTGTCCATTTTCACTCGCTGGTCGGTTAATGCAAATAGTAAAACAGGGAAAAATTTCTAAGTTTTCTTTGCTGATTATTTGGGCCTAAAACCTTTTCATCGTTCAGTCTTCGAACGGTGCTGGTCGAGCTTTGTGGTAAAATCGCGGAGAAAATCGAGTCAGGACACAGCATATTCATACCCATTAGCACCATTGCTAATTATGTGAAAATAAATAATTAATTGGTTGATAATTGCCGGGTTGATTGCATGCAATGTAAACACCGAAAAATTGTCGCAAAATCGGAAACGGTCAATAAACGGGAGGAAAACCCTGTTTTCAAATGTGCTCAATTACAAATCGATTTCAACTCAATTTCGGGTTTCGGTAACGGAATGTTCAAATAAACGAAACGAATCAACATATCAAACTAATTGCAGTCGAATTTAAATAACGTTCAATTAAAAGCATGGTTCGCAAAGTCAAACCCATAATCACACCATATATATGTATGCATGTGTAAAGTGTGTGTAAGTGTTTAGCGAGTGAGGGAGACGGCTTGAGGAGAGAAAGAGAGAGAAAGGGCTTCGATTCGACATCAATCAATTAATTGGAAATCCAAACGAGGTGCGTAAGTTCATTTGGCGTGCAATTTGTTAATTAATCGAATCTGGTGTATGAGTATTAGCACAAACTGGAGCGTTAAGTCTGGCTCATTATAGTCGATGTAAATTGCTGACTTCGTTGTGGTTTTAAATTTGGGAAATGTAATATTCTGCCATACATATAATTAATGTCTGTAAAGTTCAAACCGTGTTGGAAATATTTCAAACTTTGGTTTAAAACTTCACAGAATTTACAATAATAAAATAGGACCTGAAAGTAGGCAATACAATATGATACTTCATATTTTTTTGCCCTATACTATATTTTATTGTCAAGGTACTTAAAGATTATACGGGTTCTATGTTTACAAATAAATAATATTTAAGACTATATTTTATTATGTACTTAAATTTAATGTTCTATCAGGCACCCAAACTATTGATTTAAAACATCATAATATTTCAAACCTAAACCTTTTCCATTACTTAAGCGATTTTATCTCTTCCCCATTGCAAAGTAATGCGAGTGACTCCACTCTAAGCCGCATTGAAAGCCTTTTACTGGGTGTGACCCAATGCATTGAACTCTGCCACCTCGCTCCATAATACTTCGTCTGTTATCATTGAACGGCTTTCACTAATATCGTTCTAACAAGCAGAGCAATGGCTACAATAATGGGGAGATAATAGGCGACAACAAGTCCACACATTGCGTATCGAGTTGCCTTCGAAAGAGCTTGGCCAGCAAATTCGAACGCCTTGAGTCGTGTCCACTTGGCTAACATAATCGCACATGCAGAGCCAGCAAGACAGTTCTATCTATATATATACATATATCTAGAGGGATAGAAAGGTGGCAGAACATATATGTGTATGTGGGGGGAGCAATTGCAAAATCCCACCCAATGCATCGGGGTATCGAGTTTTAATGACCCACTTTCCAGCTCAAGACTATTTAAGTTTGGCCAGCCATCTGTATTGGTTTGGTCTAATTCTGAAAGTCCCCTGGCAGAGCAATTAGTATGGCCATTGGCCAACATGAATGGCCGATAAAGGCGGCAAACGGCGAACGTCGTATTGTCAAGGAAAACAAATGAGTTGAGTTTACCAACGGTCACTTGAGGGGCTTCCACCCGGGGTGTTCGTACTTCTTCAGGCCCTAAAGAGATGTCTAGTCCCAGAATCGAAAAAAAGGGAAAAAGAGAAAATAAAACAAGAGAAAGAGTAATTTCACAGTCTCTGAAAGTCATTACCCATTGATATGTGTTCTAAAGGAGGTGAAAGAGTGGCTTTTGTTGCTTTTTTGTCAGCTTTTTTCTGTAGACTGTGTGTTGACAACATTGGAAAGGGCAAAGACAGCGAAAAATGAAATTAATAGAATTAAGAGGTGAAGAATTCAATTCAAGGCAACATTCAGGGACAGCAATTAAATGGAACAGAACCTTGACAGGAATGCTGCTCTGGCATACGGTGCGGATACTTGATTAAGGAAGGCAACTCTTGAACAAAATAAGGCAACTTAATTGAACAAAATCAATACTTATTAAATTATTTAGAAATACGCAGACTGAATGAAAGAAGAAAGGGCTTTCAATAAATGTTGGCATACGGTGCGTATACGTTATATTTATTTGAACTGCTTAAGGTGTCACTTTAATATGTTTATGTTGCCTGTTCTCTAATATATAAAATTTAGTTCCCACAAAAACTATTCATAAAATAAAGAATAATACTAATAATAATAATAATAATAAGACACCTTTAAGTCAGACCCAAAAAGAGGTCACATAGTATTTAATAAACAAAATTTGGGTGCCCGGAAATTTAATTTGTGTGAAAAATATGTGAAAATTCCTCACGAAGCTGCAATATTCATTAATTCGGTGAATGTCGCAAACTCTTTGTGAGTTACTAGGACCCCTAGCTAGTTACTTGGGTCTCTGGAAGCCGAAGCCCAAATCCCGCCTGCAAGCCAGCGCAGGAACATACATATGAATGCATAATTGGAACATAAAATTCCGAAAATATTTTACAACATTCTCCCTGGTCCCCATGTGAGTGTTTTGGGGTTTTGTTGTGTCGGGTCCTCCTCCTTCTCCTTCCCCTTCTCGTCTTCGGCTTCATGGTCATGCCTGTTCCGCATTAATTCATTCGCAGGACGGAGAACCAGCCAAGGCAAGTCAGCCATCCGGCCGAAGATGGACCAGCGTAATCTAACACTGCCAACGCCAGCCGCAACAACAATTATGTCCTCGTCATCCGCAGCAGCAGCAGCAGCGGTGATGGCGGGCTTCGCAGGATCCGGGGGTCCAACAACATCTGCGCTGGCAGGATCCACAATAGCATTAGCCACAACAACAACAGCAGCAGCATCAGAAGCAACAACAACGCCAGCCACATTTTTTACCTACAGCATACCAGGCATGGACATAGCGCCAGGACCATTTATATTCACCTACGTTAGTGAATTTTTATCGCTTATCACGCCCGAGGAATTGCCGCTGGGTAAGTACCGCCCGCCCACCTGCCCCTTGTGTCCTTGTCCAATGGGCGTGTCCTTGTGTCCATGTATGGGGTGCATATGGATTCGAAGGATATCGGGGGAAAGGGGTTTCGGGTTGGGGTGTCAACTATGTCTGCTCGCCAACAATGAAGGCATTAGAGATGTAAATTCAGGACAGCATTTGATAGGTAGGCAAGTTATTCAGCACAGATGGAAGTGCTCGGTTAAATAGTGCACACAAAGAAAATTATTAAAGTTTTATTTAAATATCGTCGTCTAAACTAACTCAACCGACATATGCAGTTGTATTAAACAAAATTAAACCTTAAATTCTAAATTTCTCTTTTAAATCTAAGCCATAGTAAATCATAAAATAATATTTGATATTTAGTAATATAAATATTAAAATATTATTCAAACAGTAAATAATAAAACACAGCTTTTGACAATATTGCTATGAGATTATTCCTGAATTTCAAAGCCTCAAATTTGTTTAAACAAATGTATTTGAATTAAATTATTTAACTTTAAGTACAATTTATATCCTTTTTTAATACAATAATATGTTACATATACTTTTGATTTTATAAGAGTACAATGTACAAATCTTATTTTGGTTTAAATAATTATAAGTAGTAAATAATATCTAAAATTTTCTCTGAGTGCTCGAATACTTAGTGATAGGTTAAAAACAACCAAGGCTTAAATAGTTTCCATGGCACTAATCCCTGAATGGTGGCCCCCTTGTCCATGACCCTTTTACCATTTAAAATTCATGAGGGGTGAGGGAATGTAGGGGATGTGGCTGCCACAAGGATTTTCGGTGTAAGCCAGAGGCAGAGGCGGCGTAGCTACAGTGATCACCCTTTGAACAACATGTGTTTGTAAATTCACTCCATCGAAACAGCCCCAAAATTGGTTGTGCCTGCCCAGATGACCGATGAGCAGAAGCTGAGCACGTTCATGAAGCGACATGGGGTGCGTGAGGAGGTGGCCCGGCAGTACCTGAGCTCCAACAACTGGTCCCTGGAGATAGCCAGCACTACCTTCGAATCGGATGCGGCGGCCAAAAAGGTCGAGACCGAGAAATCCCCGCAGGCCGATGACAGTAACAAGGATATCCAGTCGCTGTTGAGCCAGCACTCCCGCAAGAGGGAGAATGACCAGGATGGCTACCAGGCAGGTGCCTCCGATAGTTCCTCCGATCACGAACCTCCGGTGGGCAAAAGGGTCAACATCGAGAACTCCACACCGGCCATCACCAACAACGATAGCGATCGAAGTTTGAGGGTCTGGGGTCATGGCGTTCGTCTAGGCAGCGCCCATCCCATCAATCCACCTCCTCGTTTTGCTGAAGAAGATTCGGATACGGAGCCCACCGACGATGAGCACACCATAGTGGTCCTTCATCTCTGGTCGGAGGGGTTTTCCCTGGACGATGGCTCCCTGAGGCCGTATGCTGTGCCCGAAAACGAACGATTTCTACGCGCCGTCTTGAGTGGAGATTTCCCGGAGGAAATGCTTAGGGTGCCCAGAGTTCAGCTTAGTGTTCAGGATCACACCAACGAGTCCTTTCGCCATCTGTCCAGGAAACAGTTCATGGGTCCCGGTCGACCTTTAAACAGTCCTCCTTCCCGAATAATTGTTAGCGTTCCAATGCCGGTGGAACCACAAACCCTTCACCTGAACGAACGGGCCGCAATAACTACCATACAATTAAGGATGGCTGATGGAAGCCGCGTGGCAGGAAGATTCAATCTCACCCACAACATTGGTGACCTCTATCGATATGCTCGGCAGGCCCGTCCGGAACTCTCCGGCCGAAATTTCGTACTGATGACGGCGTTTCCGCGGCAGGAACTCCTCGAATCAGACACCCGTACTCTGGACCAGGCCAATCTCTGCAACGTGGTCGTCATCCAGCACTTTAACGAGGAGCAGGCTGATCCCTTGTCGAGTGATCCTTCCGATCAGATTGTGAAATAAAAGTCAGTTGAGATGGAAGAGATTGGGGTGGTTATATAAAGGATTGGTTTTTGTATTCCAACTTTCAAGAACAATTTCCTCTTTAAATATATAATTTCAGCTGGAGGGTTGGATTATAGTTCTGGGCAGATTGAGAAATACAAGTAAGTTGAGATGGAGGAAAGTTAAGATATTTATGTGTAAGGTAGGGGCAACGTTTAATTTGAGTTCTCAGGATTTTCCTAGTTTTAATCTTAGCTTAAAGAAGTTAAAGTAAGATTAAGCTGAGACTGTTATTATAATAGAATATTATAAAGATATATTATATTATATTATAAGCACTTTTTAAAAATTGTTACATTGAGATTAAGATTTTGGGGACTATAATCATTTTCTAATACTCCAGATTCCATACGCGATGTATTACACAAAAACACCAGCCTGCTGGACTTTGCCTCCAATGTAAGTGAAGCTATCAAATCCGGAGATGTATCTACATAGCACTTCCCCCCCATTTAGGCCATTAAAATCGAGTCTGGCTTCATCGCCCTGATGAGCGTGTTCGCCATCCTGGCCCTGGTGCCCCTGATCGCCACCTGCGCCTGGTGCTGTGGTCGCCGTTCCACCCAGGACGAGGTGGACCACATACGGAATGCCCCCTGCCACATCCGCGACGAATCGCTGGAGGAGAGTTTGCGATGTCGCAAGAGCGCCGGACTGGTCACCCTGTGGATTGTTTTCATTCTGCTAACGTGCGTTGCAAACTAAACAGCTTAACTTTTTTGAGGGGTGGTAGTAATAGTAATGGAAGGTAACTGCTTTTACAGGCTGAGCGACTTCAGCATATTCTATGCCAACAGTCGCCTGTCCGCCGGCATCGAGATGACGCCCGAGATGGTCAAGTCAGCCGTGCACGACGTGGAGGTCTTCCTCAAGGACACCCATCTACAAATCAAACACAAACTGGATAATGGCTTCCACGTTTCCGTGGAGCGGGTCGTCAAGGATCTGGAAGGTCAGTCGTCAGCCAGTCAGGCAGTCATTCGGCAAAAGTTTCCCAATCGCCGTGCCAACTTTGTGTCGCCAAGCACTCGAACTCCCGCCCATTTTATAGCCTTCGATCCATGCATTATGCTGCACAAAACTTTGCCCGCACTGCACTGCTGCGATGATGTAAATGTATGAATTTTATATATGCGTTTGCCTTTCTTCCGCAGACGTGGATGTTCTCCTTGGCGAGCCGATTCAAGCGGAAATATCCGCACACACTGGCCTTGAGCTGGCGTATGATTCACTGACGACACTTAGCCTGGGTGAGTACGGATGGTTAAGTGCTCCCCATGCGATGGGCATGCGATTGTCTGGTTACGGACTTGACCCAAATTCCATTGTTAGTGGCCGGTGGCCAGTGGTCAGGCCTGCATGGTCAGTAGGCCCGAACCACCCGCTATTGGCCAAACATGACAATAAACCAGCCCCAATAAATTACCGGCCCCAAAAGAGGGTGACCTTTGGGTGGAGCTTTAAATTTTCCACTTTTCCTCTCTTAATTTCACTTCCATTTCGATTACCATTGATTGCGGTTTCTATTTTTAAGAGACTTTAGTATGCAAGCATTATTTAGAACATTTATACTTCCAATAACATCAGTTCAAGAAACTCACAATAAATCGAAAATATCTTTGCATTATTCCAATACAAAATTGTCCGACTTATTATTTTTACTTTATTTATTAATTTATTTTTCATATTATTTTTGATGTCAGGAACACTTGTTTATTTGTTTTGAGACCATCTTTACCATCATTAAACAAACATAGTCGAAGGCCTCGTAGCTTGCACTATGCCTTTTATGGTAGCTTTAGTTTTATAAACTATTCTATCATTAATAATAAATAAATACAAATATATTTTTTGAGAACTATTTTTAAGTTCAAAAACATTGGTAAAAAAAACTAACAATAAAACGAAAGTACGTTGTACCATTTCAATAAAATATGCTCCGCCAATAAATATGTAAGCATACATAAAAGCTCATAATGTATACGAAGTCATTGTTAATGCTAGTTTGAATTCTTTTTAATATTTTGCCAAGATATTTATTTTATACACCACCAACAAACATACTGAAATGCCATTTCTAGCGTAGATACTCTTGCTTAAATCTCTGAAGCCTCCACTCAAGTCCAAACAATCTGAAAAATCAAAAACCCAAGGCAGTCCCAAAGCGCAGGCCATTGGTAAATATTCTCAGCCAAAAGCAATTGTTTGCGCCCAATTTCATTAGGGGAATGCAAACGGAGGCAGCCGGATCCGGCGAAAGTCTTCCTACACAATTGCCAAGATGACAACTCCATTATGTTCGCCATCGAACACAATGTGTAATTTGGAATCATGCTCCTGTGACGACTCCTTGAGGCCCCCTTTCCCTCCATCAAGTCACCCGCTCAAATAAAACACGCTACAATAACGCTGCAAATAATAATATTTTCGTGCATTTGTCGCTGTCAGCGAACGCGGAGCTCATCTACCGCGTGCTCATGCTGCAGGAGACGGTGGGCAGGGCCCTGAAGCTCTCCCAGGAGGCGTCCGCCAGGATGGAGGAGCTGCAGATCCAGCTGTCCGTGCTGCAGCGCCAGTGCACGTACCGCGACCGCCCGCTCTGCGACACGTTGCGTATACGCAGCTTCGAGGAGAACGGCGTCGTCGACGCCCTGAAAACTGTGAGTTCATTGCCGGGGTGCGCCGCTCGATTATATCTCTTTTTACGAGGATACTGATACCCTTGCTGGGGCTGAGATACTTTTGATTTCGAGTCACAAAACCTATAATAAATCTTTTATAGTCATTGAAAAAGCACTGTCTGTCTGTCTAGTCCTTGCTATACTTGTTGTCACTCGGATTTTTGCATAGGAGACTTTAGAGATTTTATTTAAGGATTTTAAAGCTGTCCTATTACATATATGATAAAAATTAAACATTTTGCTCCGGAAGCTTACAAATACAAACACATTTAATAGGTCCTCTTTTTGGGCACCTTTGATTTTATGTATAAAGGCGATGTCAACTATTTATTTTACAAAAACTTTTACTACACTTTTTACACTTTTACTTTCAATACATGTTTATAAAGTTAATTAAATAAAGTTTTCAATATTGTTTTCTTGCCTTTCTTAGATTACTTAAACTAAACAGATTTTAGTGTTTTTTTAATTTTAAAAGGATCAAAACATTGAAATATATTTATGCTTATTTTACTATATTCAATAGGTTTGATTTTATTCAATAAATATGTTTAAGTAATATTGAGATACAATAATAAGAAAAGATAAGAGCCAGAGTCTTATTACAAAAGAAAATTATATTCTTTAAATTTATCTTAAATCAAAATAACACCACCACTTGATAAAGCTCCCATTAATAAATCTTTTTCGCAAGGGTATTCCCCGCTTCGGTTCACCGAAACTAGCCTGCGTTTCTAGTTGAACGTATAAATAATTTGTACCCTGACTTCCTTCTCCCCCTTTTTTTCCCCCGTTCGGACTACACTGTTTTTCTAATTTCACCCGCAATATCTTATTTCCTGGACAACGGCACGACGACATCGCTGACAATTTGTCAGCTGCAAGAGGACCAGAGCATCTTCCGAATGCGCTACTTGGGCGAAATTGAATTCGGTGCCACTGTCAAAAATCTGACATCGGAAGTTGGCGTGTCACGTTCCATTTTCAGCAATTTCCCGCAACAAGTTAAACATGACACGGCATATGAGCGGAACTGTGAGTAGAGCAATCAAAATAAAAGGAAGCGGGTCGAGTTGTAATATTTAAGTTGGGGATTTCAACCAGGCCAAGTTAATCGCTGGCCCTACATCAAAATCCATATTGTCGTAGCCTGGCCAAAACTCAATTATGCCAACTGGCTAAGTGTACAATTCAATCAATGGCACAGGTGTCGGGCTTCCCATTCAGTCCATTTCTCTCCTCTGCTCAGAACCCATGATTCTGGCAATGCAATTTCCGAAACATACAGATAAATACACAGGAAAACCAATTTATTTGTTATCAAAATGATGATTTACATAACATTTTCGATTGATATGTTCGAGCATGCAGATATAAAATTAAAAAGATACGATTATAGTTTCAAGATGATATGATTTTAAATTAGAATTGATCAAATTTGAAAATAATATTTATTTATTTCGCAGTCTTATGATTGTAAATTAGAATTTCTAAAATCAAAGTAATATTTATTTATCTCGTCTTTTTATTAAATATGTTGCCTTTCTTCTGTCTCGAGTGCCAAGAATTTTCTACAATAGAGTTAACAGACCTGTTAATTTTATATATTTTTTATAATCTTCATTGAGTAAAATATAAGTTTTTCTGTGTAGCTGAAGAAGTTGCCCAAGTTTAGTCCCCAATATTAATTAGTGTCATTGGGTTTTGGTCTGTGGATGCTAATTGAATTGGCTCTAACTTATCTGCAGATACGTTGGAGCAGTTGGCAAGTATTCGGCATCGGACGACTGCCAACGCCCAGCAGCTGACCTCCACGATAAATGGACTGCTCCAGCGACTGGAGGGCACCTGGTCGTCCCTGCAGCCCGCCTACAACGAGCTGAAGGAGTGGGCGGATGCCTACTGGAGTGTGGGTTGGATTGCCGGAACAGTGATTGTCTGGGTGATGCTCTTCATGCTGATGTCCTACTGCTGTTTTCTCTGCGAATCGAATGCCAAATCCGGTGTGGTCTTCTTTATTGCCGTAATGCTCATCTGCCTGGCCAGCATTTGTCTCACCATTTATGGGGTATTTTCCCTGGCTGTGGGCGGCAATGCCGAGGTCTTTGTCTGTCGATCTCTGTACGATCAGGACTACAACATGCTGGGTAAGCTGCTGGACAAGCCAGGTTACGCATACGCCCGGGAGCCCCAGAACGGCATCATCGGGGAGCTGTTGCGTCCCGCCGGCGTCAATCGGTCGGTGGTCAATGTGGGTCTCGGCCAGGCCCTCAGGTGAGTCCATGTCCACTAACC